GTAGGTTACTGCCAATGCGCAGTGCGTGTGGAACAGGCGAGGGGGGAGTTGAAATATATCGACCCCTGAGCCCCACTATGTATAGCATAGGTAGTAGGTCTAGTGTAGACATGCCGTAGCTATGATTCCATAACATTCCGAAGTAGTACATCCAACCATATGTACAGAATAGCACCTTCTACTTAGATGCAGTAAGTAGATAGAGAGTCTTAATTAGAGATGGGTAAACCATAACCCTAACAACAACCTGGGTTAAGGTCAATGCGCCATTGATGTTATGGCTCAAGTGCTCCGTCCAAAAAGGAGCATTTGCTTGTTTTCATGTGCAGGGTTTGCCGGTTTAGATTCCCCTTGTTTTGGGTTTCTGTTCCGACCCCCTGTTTGACTATCATAAATGATATATATATATATATACATATTATAATAATTTAATGATCTATAATATTCTATAATAATCTATCAGAATCTATCCAATAGTCCATCTTCTAATCGTCCATGGCGGATGATTCGCCCTCTTCATTGAGGTTGGGCCGAGCAGTACTTCCTCGATCCTGACAGGTTCTATCCTGTCAAGGTGTGTTTTTACGATTGAAAGCTGTGAAAATGAACAGGTATGTAGAATCAGTAGAAAAAGATTGCATGATGACTTTCATGGAAAAGTACGTAAGGGATGAAACACCTATAGCCTATGCTTTCTGAAACTCAGCTTCTTCTTTCGATTTTTTTTACAGTAGCGGCTCGCGATACCCAATGCTTTTTCGAGGGTCTCAAGGTTTGAATCCCTGGAAATGGACATGGTCACGATTCAATGACGGGAGGATTCTGACGATGCGTGGCAAGTGGCGAAGAAGGATGTTCCCTCCAGCTTACTTCCAGAGGTCTACCGGGAGTCCATGTGCTTCGTACTATATCCCATAGGATCCATGTATGCTATATATGGTAACATTCACCATCAATATACCCCAAATGTTAGCATATATACCATACATAGATCCTATGGGTATGGATCTATATGGCTTTGAGTATAATATGGACATGTGTAAATAATGAGAGGCAAAGACATGAGATGATGCAAGGCACATAAATTAAAAATAAGGCAATGATTTGGAGAGGCGCCAAGATCCAGTGGTGCTCCAAGTGATCCACGATTTTCAGTTTTTTTCCGATGAACTGCAAGCTGGGAGAATAGAATCCGTTCCCAGAAACCTGTTTGGCTCAATGAAATATATGATGTTTATGATGAGTCTGATCAATCCGAGTTGGTGCCTTTGACATGCCAACGAATCAGGCATTTTCATCGGTTCAAATATCTTCAAATTGAGTTGACTGGCAGGCATTGCGACCACTGCAACCAGGAACCAAAGCATATGCCCCAGCTATTCCAGCTGAGAAAAACCTGTCACAATGTCAATCAATGTCAATCAATGTCACAATCATTCTTTCTCAGGAACATGCAGGAACTGTATTGTTGAATACTGTGTTCAATTTTTGTTCAGTCCAATTTGCGAAGGTCTAACTGCCAAGTGGAGCCAGTGAAACATAGTGGGACATAGTGGAACCAAGGTTCGGGTCACTAAAGATGAAGCCACATTGGAGAGGTGCTCCTTCCAGGTCTTTGGTGTTTTAGACTCACAATCAACACTCATGTGATTGCTGATGTGATTGCTGACTATAGCTGATTGCGAATATTTCTCATATTGCTGCATACCAGTTCAATATAGTTCAATTGGAAGATCTTTGAATGCGCAATACCTGGCAATACCTGAAACATCAGGTGCTTTTGGAGACCCGGCAAGGGACATGACATTTCTCGTGAACCCGGCACCGATTTTTCAACATCCAGGACGCAGAGACAAGTCATGGGCTTCATCCACAACCGTTGCGCACGGAAGGACCAGCCAGAACTGACCAGTTCCCGGGTCCCGGCGGTCCAAAATCCTGGTGAAATCCTGGTGAAATCCAGGTCTTTAGGAGGTCGACTTGATGTATCTGCCTTGATCTGTGGAGGAACTGCTGGGGCAAGTAGGGACTGTGGTGGTGGCAGAATCGCACCGCACCGAAGTCCAGGCCCGGAATCATCGGAATCCGTGGGGTGTCTATCTTGCTGGTGAAAAAATGCAACTCCCCAGTGACTATTCGAGGGACAATTCCTATGGTAACATGGATGAACATGGAGAACGGGATGGTCCCAAGATGCAGGTAGCCCCCCATTTTGATCCATTTTTCGGAGCGCGTTGAGTCAACGTTGAGTACTCCAACTTTGGTCAAGTTGCCCTAGTTTCGGCCCACGGAGTGGAGCTTCCAGCATAGAGATGGCCAGATACCGTTTTGCCTGTGCAAGTGGTGGATAGTTCAAAACGGTACATACGTATTTCTACTGAACATTGGCAAGCTGGAATTCCATGTTTATTCCAAATTTCCAAGTGTCCATTGAGTTTTCAATAGATGTCTTGTTTGCATGGAAAAATGGGACATTTCAGAAATGCATTTTTCGCATTTTTCATGATTTTCAAGGCTGGAGTTGTTCAGGTCCAATTCTCGCCCGAGCTGGTGGCGTCCTACACCCAATGGGTATTTCATTGGAGGTAAAAAAAACCCATTTTCAGACATAGCCTAATACTGTTTCCATTGTGCACCTTGGATACCTTGGGATACCTTGGGATTTTGATGGAATTGGGATAACCATGGATAACCGAGGCCAATGCGGTCTGAAAGACGATATGGCCATCATGCCCGCACCTCAGAGTTTAGCTTCGGGACATCAACCTGGAAGATTGCCCGAGATTGCCCCTGTATATCCCAGTTTCGTTGTATTGGCGGTACTGGGTCCTACCACCCTCCAAAACAAGAGTGGGGCAATCCTGGCGTTCTGAACGGTTCCGAGCCAGCTACTCAATGGTGACTCTTCAAGTCTTGTTTTGCTTGGGTGCCACTTTCTATCGCTTTCTCGTTGAGGGATTTGCAGGGGAAACAGCATGGCACGAAACGGTTGAGTGTAGGCTGAGTGTTCCAATATGTTCCAATTTCCAACAAAAGCCAAGCCCTTTTAACTCTTGGAACTTCTATTTTTTTTCAGCACGTGATGAGAAGCCATTCTGGATTCTTTGTGTGATGCATGCGGGCCCCCCTGACCCCTTGTTTGAAGGCGCGGGAGATTGAGAGGTTGGAAAAACAGGGCATCGTGCTTCGGCTGCAGATTTTTGTTGATGTCGAGTGTGCACCACGCCCTTGGTGACACAAAATTCGAAGCTTTCACCCAAATTTTGGTGTTGTGGTTCTTACACCCAGGCGTCAATTTGAGAGTGTTTGTGGCTGAGCATTGTCACATATTGTCACAATGTTCTGCAGTCTAGAAAACTGTCGCTTTCATTCAGACATCCACAGATGTGTCTGGTGGAATCCTGGAAAGTGCCAACGATCCTTCGCACAAGATCGAGGACGGCCCTTTGGTTTGTGGCCAGGCATGGCACAGCTGAGGTGATGTTGCATCGTCAAGCCTTGGAGATTGAGGCCTGGATTTTTCATGGCCCTGATAAGCTGGGATGACACCTGGATGTTGCAATGTCAGTTGGGATGATAATTCTGAGATACCCGGCCTGGTAATGACTAACAGTTTGCGAACTGGAAAATGGTCATTGATAGTTGATGTTCCCATTAATGTTGTCTGACCAATAGTGATATCTTGTCAATAGTAGAAACATTTTTCCGCAACTCCAATTATTCTCCAATACTAAAAGTCAATTAGCTCTATTTACTTTTTAGTATTGCCAAAAGAGTCATGTTCAGACCTTGCCCAGAGGGCATGGCCAATAGTGGACCCAACATGGCAATAGTGGAAACTTTTTTCCCAACTCCAATTTTTTCTCCAATACCTAAAGTCAATTAGCTCTATTTACTTTTAGTATTGCCAAAAGAGTCAAGTGAAGCAAATCCTTTTCAAAGCAGCCTTCACTTTTGACTAGCAAAAGCTTAGATTCCAGAAATCTGATCCAATTACCAAACAGCTGATTTCCTTATAAAACCCTTATTAAAAAAAGCAAAAAAACAGGTCCACAAAGGGTACCCCCTTTGCAAGCCCCAGAATAGCAATAACAAACCTGCACCAGGCATGGCAATAGTGGAAACTTTTTTCCGCAACTCCAATTTTGTTGTCCTCCTTCTCCTTCTCCTTCTCCTCCTCCTCGTCCTCCTCCTTCGCCTCCACCAAATCCATTCAGAATCTATCAGAAACCCAACAAAACCATGGAGAATCTATCAGATACATATTATCATGATCCCAGCTATAGATTCCCAAAAATTATTATAGGAAGGTTGACCCCCCCCCTTAAAAAGAAAACAAAATAGGGGGGGGTAATTACTATTAGGCAGCCAACATTAATAGCATGGTGATTTTCCATAGTTATGTAAACGTTTACCAGATGGTAATTTGCAATATGATTATATATATATATACATATATATATATATATGGTCCTATGGTGTAATATGTAAATATGGCGATTGCTGACTTACTTGGGATTCCCAAGTCGCCATTTGAAAAAATCTTTTAAACGTCTAATGACTGGATGATTTGGGGTACTCCCATGACTTAGGAAACCTTCATTGGAATGATTTGATATGTTTGACATGGTTTGACCAGTTGGCTAGGGTTTCTTTTGCAGTTGCTGGCCGGCTGGCTGATTTTTTAAGCGATTTTTGCAACGAACTTATCCTGTGGACAGGGAATGCACGCTTTTTGGACATTCGAAAACATTCGAAGTGGACATCGAGGCTTTGATAATAAAATGCTGGTTGGTGCTTTGGAACATTTTTTCTTTTTCCATGTATTGGGAAAAATCATCCCAACTGTTACTCACAACCCATCATTTTTCAGAGGGGTAGGGCGAAAAACCACCAACCAGAATGTGTTCATGGCTTTGACCTGTTTTCAGGTCTGTTTTTCCATGTTGTTCCCTCATCCATATGGGACCTTGCCTGGGACCAGGCAGAGGCGGTTTCAGCTGCTCCGCCTGAGACTCAGCGGGTCGGGGGTGAAGGAAGCACACCGCCATTGCTGAAAAACAGGTGAACGAGATAGTCATAGATAGTCATAGATAGTCATAGATAGTCATAGATAGTCATAGATAGTCATAGATAGTCATAGATAGTCATAGATAGTCATAGATAGATCATAGTCATAGATTCTTAGACGGTCATAGATAGTCTTTTGTTTTTGTTTGAAAGTGGTCGAACAGATTTTCGTAGAGGTTGAAGAGTGGAACGTCCAAGCGGATTTTGCCAGTGGCCACTGCCTTAGGCGTAGGAAAAGCAAGTGGATTGAGGCGCGGAGCAAGGAAGGACCCTGGTAGCTGCATGCTGCAGCTTTCATCTGGGGTTTCACATAGAAAATCATGGAATGAACATTGATATTTATAGGGGATTCTGGGACATGTTTAATATGTTTATGTTGATTGTATGTTGATCGTTGCCGTTTCTCGTTTTATGTTGGTGTGAAAAAAAGTGTGTTCGTTGCTATGAGTTGACGGTTTTTCCAGGTGTGGGAGAAAGTGCCCGGGGCCCTTGTGAAAAAAATGACGACTCGACAGCAGTTGCGAAAAAGGGCGTAGATTGCAGATGTATGTCACATATCATTCAAGCATATTCAAGCCATTTAAGGTAGGTTTAAGATGGTTCAAGGGTTGAATACGATTCTTGAGATGAGTCACGGCAACAACTCCGGCAATAGGAAACATGTAAGGAAAAAGGACATTGATTGTTAGAATTTATACAAACACAAGGTAATCAATGGAACCTTCCCAAATTGCAATGTACCCCCTTTGAAGGTTATGTCATACCTGTGCACATACATCATTATCCTTTTCAGCAAAACGCCACAAATTTGCAATATTTGTCGTGTAAGGGTTATTTCGAAGCGATTGGACATTCCTTAAATTTCTTGATGTCCTATTTTTGTGAACCAACAGAGGTTCCGAGATTGTTCAGATGAATGGGCTAGATTATAGTGCCGGGATCAGCCGTTTGTCACCGTTTTTTGGTCTTTCTCCCGGTGCGTGCAATGTTTCATGCTGGTTACAGATCATCTTCCAATCCACCAGTCTCAGAATCCTTTCAACATCTTTCCAATACATTTTTCCAATACCATCTGGCTATTTAACATAGCCATGGAAAATGGCTCATTTATAGATGGTTTGCCTATTAAAAATGGTGATTTTCTATAGCTACGTTAAATAACCAGAGGGTACATCTTGAAAAACAGCCCTGGCCAATTTGAAGCCAAAAATCACCCCATTCGCAGACTCTCAGACTGGCATAGACGGGCCACATCATCTTCGTCAGTGGTCCCTAACTTCCCCAAGGCCAGCTGTGGAGAAGGATCGACTGCATGAAGTGGTGGTGCGCATGGATCTTCAACTGATGAATGCTCAGCCCAGCGATCCAAGGCAAGTACCGAGACTTTCAATGATAAATTCTGTTTGGCAAAGTCATGCATCACTACATAGCTATTGGAAATGGCCATAGAAATAGCTGATTTACCCATTAAAAAGGGTGGATCTTTCCATAGTTATGTAAACGTTTACCAGAGGGTATATGACTCAGACTCATTTATGACATTGTAGGTGCATATCAGTGTATTGTAGTCGAAAGCACTGATTTGGGCAGCGTGATAAACTGTCTACTTGCATTTTTGTGGCAAGTCACAACATTTGAGTTTGACTTGGGCCCCCCAGTTACATATAAGTTGGTTCATAAACCATTATAATCTCCATTAACTATAGGTAGTATATCTACCATAAATACCATAGTTAAGCCACTTATAAGGCAACTGAACGTGAGCTCGACTGGGGGCCCCATCTTGTATGCAGCATGGATTTTTTTTGCACCCGAACCTTGAAGCCGGTGAGCAGGTCATATTTGATCCATGCCATCACGGATGGAAACCCGTTGACCACTTCGCACCTTGGTGAGCAGCCACATATGGGAAGGCACATGGGTCAGAAATATCCTTGGGATTCCTTGGGTGTGTCACAAAGGATGCTTTGGTTTTCTTTTGGTGTCTCTCAATTTTGGAGAGTCCGGATTTCCGGATGATTTCCTGGATTTATGAGACTTTATGAGAGTCCTTTCAATTTGATGAAGCCACAAATTCCTTCCTCCAAGGACTGTCTATCCCAGATTCTTGAGCGAGCCGTGCCCCGAGCGAGTGGCTGTAAAAGCTCCCAAGCCTTTGGGAAAACAAGAGGTGAGCTGTGCAGACGGGTGTCCAAACGCCAAAGCTGGGAGAGATCCAAAATGGCCCATATTTTCAATGGTCATCAGACCCAGATGTCCTTAAAATATGTCAACATGTTGCGCATCCTTCCAACGTAGTTCAGTATAGCACCATCTGTCCCAAAATGTTAGAAGTTTGTCAGAGTCTTCTACAAGCGCTGCTTGTTAGATCTTGTGAGTTTGATGCGGGGCACAATTAGATTCATTCATAAAATGCTGATGGCATGAGATTGCAGTGGTGGGAATGCTGATCGCCATGGTTTTTTCGAATTCCTTTGGTTTAATTGATGAGAAAGTTCCGTCAGTAAGCAATTCTTTTCACTTTGGGATACTTTGGGAATGCATTGATCATAGATTTGGAAGGTCTTTGTGCGACTGGCAGGCAAATGAAGCCTGGACGGACTTGGAAAAAGCACTCTTTTTGCCTGACATCTTCGGACAGTTGGGTTCAGGAAAATGGGTTGTGCTGAAAGTAGAAGGTAGCACATGTATGACCCAGGTATGACTTCGGATTCTGCATGCTGTTGCCTCACCTCACTTCGGCATGTCATGAGACCGAAAAATCTTCCTGCAATTTCCAGATCGATTACCCTCTGGTAAACTGTCCCATAACTATGGAAAATCACCATTTTTCATGGGAAAAACTCACTATTTCTATGGCCATGTTCAACAGCTTTCGACTCATTGGGAAAGAGGCGAAAAGGTCAGTTACTGTGGCGTTGCATCGATGTCAGGAGGGGATGAGTCGCGGCTACAGCTGGTGAAACAGCTGTTAATCAGGCGATCAGCTGGCGAAGACTGTTCGGAAAACTGAAGCTAAGGGAGCTTCGGGGGTGGTGTATTTTTTGTTTTTTTGAAACTACATCTTGTCATCTTGTTAGTAGTTTCCGATGAAAGATCTGACATGATGTTCACAATGTTCACTGGAAACTTTTTGGTGGTCAGATGTGATAACTGGTCGGATCATCCACTCGAAGAATGATCCAACATGTTTGATGGACTCATTTCGCCATTGAGTTTCTAAGTATGGCTGCTTGATGCGAATCGGGCATTCGCCATTGTTGCCGAGCTTCATCTTGAGCCTTCTGATTTTTGAATGATGGTTTACTTGATTGAGCACAGGTTGCTGCAGCAGAATGGAGAAAATGGTCATGAAATGTCATGAGCCATTACAAATATTGGTGCTGAACAGCAGATCAAAGTGCTGTCAATGTGCTAGTTGGATATTTCTCTTAGGTGGCTTGGTGGCGGAAAGCACGAACCAATCTCGAGCTGTTTGTTTCAAACATTCCAAGTTTGGATTCCAGTTTTCGAGTGTTTTGACGTATATATATATATATACATTATATATATATATATATCTAATAGTATTATTATATAATATATATATACTTAAAACATCTAAAAATCTGTTTTGTGATGGGTTGAAGCCAGAACGCCACAACTTGGGATCGTCCATTCGGATCCATGGGACCCATCCATAACGCCAGGGGTCTTCAACCTGACTTCAGCGTCTCAGCTGCGATGATCGTTTCGAAATCGCTGTTGATGACGATTTTTGTGAAGTAATTCTAACTTATGAATATAATACAACAAGATGCGAGATATAGGTTACTTATTTAATGTCTATTTCTATGTTACTTATGAATACTTGTTCATAACCCATATGCTCCATGGTGCCGGAATATTTACCAACATTTGCCCTAAAAATCACACAGTTTTGTAGGTAAATATATACCAGCACCATGGAGCATATGGGTAATAATATGTAATAATAATGATGATTTCCATATATCATTTCCAGATCGATGATTTTAATATATTATGTAATAATAATGATGATTTCCATATATCATATATCATTATTAATAGATGTTCATGTCTTTTTGTCCATCTCTGCCAGATCGAGATCCACGAATCGCCAAGGTTTCCGCGGAAGACCATTGCTGCATCGTGCTTGTGAGCCCGAAAGCCTGGATGATGTTGCAAACTTGACAGTTAAAACATGTTAAAACTATGAAATCATAAGAATCATAAGTAAATCTACGAAATCATAGAATGTTCTTATAGAATGAACCATAAAATAGAAAGTAATTAAAGTCATCCAGAATTTTGTCACATGAAAATTGAGACATTTTGAGATAAATCACCATAAAAAAATGATGAATCCACCGTTCTGTCGCCTCGAAAGTTTCCAGGTCAGGCGATTTGGCCCTCGCGGAGCTGCTGTTCGCGTGTGGTGCTGACCTGCCGCTTGGAGCATTCATAACTGCTCAACTCCGAAGTATATTCGTTGCCTGAACCAATATAATAACATATTATTCTGTGTCAATATATAATAATAATAATAATAATAATAATAATATATATATATATGTATGTATGTATGTATGTATGTATGTATTATATATATATATATCTAAATATATACATAGATATGTTTATATATATATATTATTATATATTGTATACATATATATATATAAATATACACATATATATATATATATACACACTAAGAATTACTCATATGCAGACGGCACCAGAATTCCGGTCACAGGCATGCTCGAGGAGGCGATGAGAACAGTTTGCCCATCGAGGTCCAGCGGCCCAGCGGCCCAGGATATCTTCTTATCACCTCAAGGGCAGTTAGTATCAGTTAATATAGCCAAAACCATAGGAAAACCATAGGAAAACCATAGGAAAATGGGATTTTATGGGATTTTATGGGATTTTATGGTGGTTTAATGGGATTTTATGGGATTTTATGGGATCTAATGGGATTTACCCTCTGGTTATGATTAACAGTTTGCCATGGAAAATCCCAACCATAAATGGAGGTTTCTAGCTGGGAAAATCCTCTATTTCTATGGGCCATTTTCCATGGCTATGTTAAACAACCAGAGGATATATATAGTATCTACTAGATGTCAATTAATATAGGTTTCTATTAGTTAATAATATATATATAGATATTATATATATATATATATATCTGGGTAAATTTCATCACGACCTCACTGCGACCGAGCCCTGGAATCATGGTTAATAAGGGAAATCATCCCCATGTGAGGCCTTAATTCAGGTTAGTGAAATATTATAATTTACATAATTTACCCATATATATATATATATCACTGACATGTATAATTTATATAGATATATACTATTTGATACAATATATTGACATTTATAGAATAGACATTAATACATATAATTTATAGACATTGTTTTCTTGATATTGATATTCTACTAGAGTACATAATGATAGTACTAGTAGAATACAGTAGAGTAGAATAGACATTTATAAACATTTTACAGACTGCCAATCCCTTCCCCTGCTTATATCAAACGTATTAAACACCCTCCATAAACCATGGTGGACGTAGGAAATCACAACGTTGGGACCATGGAGTTGGGGGTGTTTAGAATAGGGAATGCCTCAGGCCGCATCAGCTATTGATGACCTCACCACGTTTGTTTTCACATTTTGATGATATGTATATAACTGTATAACTATATAATATATATATAGTATAAGTATATATTTGATATTGATATTTTGATATGGTTACAATGGTTCAATTGTGAGCCCAAACTTTGATGCATAGTTCTGTCAGCACTACAGAATCGCGAGTCACGTTGCGAGATGCGCTGGCAGGTGGCTGCTTGGTGTGGCCAAATGCAGCTTCTTCGGCTCCTGGTGATCAATGGTGTCTTGGTCGGTCTGGTCGACGATGGGTTGATCCATGTTGATCCACTCTTGGTGTTGGGTCCAATGGATAGCTACTGCGTTTAGTAGAAAGATATACCCTCTGGTTATTTAACATAGCCATGGAAAATGGCCCATTTATGTATAGATGGTTTACCTATTAAAAATGGTGATTTTCCATGGCTATGTTAAATAACCAGGTGGTATGTGTTTTAGCACAGCGGGTTGTTTCACCACACCTGGCAGGAGGAATCAGGAGAACATGTATTGCTAGACACGGTCTGTCCTTAGCAAAGATACCCAGTGTGCAAAACAGTTTATCATAGTTTATCCATTGCAAAACATTGCCATGATAGGTGAATATAGGTGAATCGGGTATGATGGACATGAAATGAACAGAACCAGGAGATGCTGGTTCTTACATCAGCCCTGAAAAATCAGCTGTTTTCAAGATCTCTAGAGTTGATGTGACAGCGTGAGATGGATCGCAGATACAGTAAGAAATGTCCAAAGTGGACAATTTTAATGGCGAATTCCAGTACTTCAAAAAGACAGGTTTGCTGAGTAGGCTGTCAGACTAGTCATTTGACCTAGTGGCTGGCATTGATACTTCTTGAGTACATGACACGTGATGAAATATCGGAACAGACATTCCTTCCACACAAGTTTAATCCCTGCGTTCTGAAGGTCTTTGCATTTTTAAAACCTGTTCGAAAATGACAGTATGGCTGGCCTTGTGTTTCCTGTAGCCACTGTAGCCTGTGTACACAGCTATATCATACTGCAAGTTGATTTCCCAAACACGAACCTTGGGATCCTTGGACCTATTGAACCATGGCCATGCCCAGCAATAAGGAAACTCACCGAGTGGTTTTCATCCGGCAAATAGAGGGTACCAGGACATTGCAAGTAGATGAAGACATGGTTGAAAAAGAAACTGGTGTGATTTCCAACATGTTCACCCGTGTTTGTTCTGCTGTTTTTTTTAAATATCTCACGCACTTTAGGTTGATCAGGGGCTCTTCACCTTCACAAACGGCGATCTTTCACGCTTCGAGTGTTTGCTGAACATCTATGAACTCAAGATTTCTCCTGTGATATCCTCTCATGTAAGGGATCCTAGGTTTAGTTCTGAAAGTAAAGTATCTGGTTCGGGGTGTGAAAAGATAATGATGAAGAACTTGGAGCGGGAATTTTCGGGTGCAGCTACAGTGCTGGAAACGACTAGGTTCAACGTGAGAAGGATTGCTTTTTAGCCTGATGAAGCTCTAGGAAACCAAACTCACACAGAGATTTCATAGTGTCGGTTCCTAACTTCCGGCCTTCGAAGTTTCAAGGTTCGTGCTTTGGACAAGCTCTGCACATGGCTGCGCTATCAGGGCACTTGGAGGCACATCTTGCATCATCTTGCATCATCTTGCATCATCTTGCATCATCTTGCATCATCTTGCATCATCTTGCATCGTGCTGCAGGATTGAATGAAATAGTGAACTATATAGTTTGATGACCATTTACCCCTGATGATCATCCCCCTAAGAATGGTATTAATAGGTAATAGGTATTAATATATGAATGAGGCCGTGCTGTGAAAGTTTGGGACGTGAATCATGGTGAGTTCTTGATTAGAACGATCCGCAACATCCAGCTTGCTGCAGAGTCGAAAACTCCAGGCGGCACAGCTGCTTTTGAACTACGGCTGCCCTCCCCATGTGCGAATTGCTGGCGTGACTCCTTTGGATTTGGCCATCGCTGCATGTCAGGCAAGAAAGGAATGGCAGAATGAAAAAAATGGCAGAAGAGCATTCACCCCATTTCATGTCCCCATTTCAAGTCCCCAAAAGTTTGCAGCGTTTGACAACCTTCGCTGTGGCTTTAGATTTCCGAGCTTAGCCAGATTTGATACCCATATCCTCCATGGTGCTGGGATATGCACACCAACATTTGCCCTAAAAATCACCCAGTTTTGTGGGTAAATATACCAGCACCATGGTTCGCATATGGGATATTGAAAGAGCATACGGACCATCGACATGCCCGGTGTCATAGCCTGGATCGCCCTGAAAGACTTGCGCTTTGACAGAAAACAACGATGGCATTTTTCAATCCATCGCACCCAGCATAAAATCACCATAAACCCAGCATATACCCAGCATAAACCCAGCATAAACCCAGCATCTATACCCTGTAACATCCTTTTTTACCACCAGGTCTTCCGAGTTTTGTCCGCCCAAGTGCCGCTTGGCAGGCGCCCATCGTGACATTGCTCTTACAAGATCCCACGCTCACCGAAGTCGCTGGAGCCGAAGAGAAGCTCCATCCGCAGGCGACGACGCTATTTTTTGGTGCTTGGAGGTATAGAAATTTCTCCCCAATCACCATGAAAAAACATGAATAAATCACCATAAATCACCATGAATTATATATTCATGGTGAAGTATTGATATATGAATATATTAATGATCAATACCTATTACATTATCTTAGAGTGAAGATATTGAAGTAGTAGCATTAAGGTGCAAAAAAATCGTCGCCGCTTAGTCACTTAGTCGTGAGATCTTGGCAGATCCAATTTTTAGCTTCGCTCTGCTGATAAATGATGAATTTCAGTGGAAGCTACCCCTAACCTTTCAATAATTAGCTTTATTTAGCTTTCAATTTGACATGTTGAAATATGTTGAAATATGTTGAAATATGTTGAAATATGTTGAAATATGTTGAAATATGTTGAAATATGTTGAAATATGTTGACAGTTGAAATATTAGTGAAAGATAGGCTGAATCGATCGTCGTTCAGAAGGCTTCCATCAGGCGCGTTGAAACCACAACGCTTCAGGCCATTTCACGCTATGGCCTTGCGCCGCGCTCGCGACGCTTGCATCTAGTGACCAAAATGGGTGGACCTAGAGGCTGGGAAGGGATGGAGCTGAGTTGGTCTCGGTAACAAGATCGGCCCGAATACCCATGACGGATCCATGGTGCTGGTATATATATGCTAACATTTGGGGTATATTGATGGTACATGTTGCCATATATATATAGTTATATATATATAGCATACATGGATCCTATGGGGAATAGGACATCGATTTTCAAATCGGAAATCGAAGCCAACTGACACAACCATTGGGCCTTTTTGAAGCCGGGTCGTGGGATTTGAAGATCGGGATTTGGTGCTGAAAAAAATTGGTACAAGCTCACATTGTTGATTTACCCTCTGGTTATGACTAACAGTTCGCCATGGTTAAGCCATGGCCCATTGAAATAGATGGTTTACCTATAAACAATGGTGATTTTCCATGGCGAACTGTTAAATAACCAGATGGTAGAACTTTTGAATATTTATATAAATCCTCCAAAGCTCAACAAACCACTGGCAGTTGTCCGTTGCAACCCCTAGGTTTGCCCGCGGCCAATTCCGCATATCCTTTGACATGCTCAAATCCCTGCGCAGGGTTTAAGTTTTTTACTTTCCAAAACAACAAACACCAAAACCCTAAAACCTAAAACCCTAAAACCCCAAACCCTAAACCCTAAATTAAAACCCTAAATCATGAAAACTCAAAGTCAAAATCACTGGGTATAGCCAGTGTTTTCATTGATCCTTTGGTGATAAGTATATCATATTGTTTGGATGTGTTGTTTTTTCGTGTGGGCGAACCAGGGGGTTGCGGGGCAGTTGTCCGATTGGCCAGCCATTGGCCCTCGAATCGATATAAATCGATAAATCCTTGCTTCCTGAGGATGCTATACTCATCAATATTCTCCACCTATGACTGGGGATATAGATGTCTATGGACTGGGATATATTTATGACATGACTCCTTGGAGCAAGGCTAGAAGGTGGCGAGGATTTGGCCGAACAAGAGGGAGGTCGGGAGGTGATGTGTGTAGCTGGATACCTTTCCACACCTGGCAGGTGCCATTTTGAAGTCATTGCTTTCACAAGGAGGTTTGGGAAAGCAGAAGGAATCTCGGCTGTGATCATTTCGGACTGTCGCGGCCTCACCTCAATCTTCATAGGTTATAGGTGTTACAGACTGCAACACGATACTTCTCTACGCGGTTTTTCGTGACGGCTTCGATTTCGTATCAGTTTCAAGTCGTCCTATTGAAATCGATCTAGGGCCTGTTGAAAAGCAATCCATTAAAACACCCCACAATTAGATCACCTCAACCATCTTAATCCATGGCTGCAGTTCCAGTTCGTGTTCGTCGCAAACCTGTGACATGCAACCATGTTCAACGCCTTTAACAAATCTACTATGATCAAATTGGCGGGATTTTTGCATGCATCTAGTTATGATTGGAAGTTAATTAGTTTTGCCAAATGGCTTGGTGTCTTATCAACAGCTTTTTTTTCTTCGGGACAGCCTCATATAGACTCTCTTCGTCACCAATACAGACACCATTTTTGGGCTGCATGCCAGCGCCTTTGAAGCTTTGCGAGTCGAAAGCCCGCCACTTTCCCAGAACCGCTGACACAATCAAAATAGGCACAACCCGCCACAACAGAGCGTAGCCCAGCTCCAAACAAAGGTGGTTATGGTAATATGGTAAGGGTGTTTTTTTGCAACTTGGTTGGAAGTGAGGAAGGAATCCTGACTAGTTTGTTGCATCGCTACTATGCGGGTGCACCTATGATGATCCTATTTTGCAAGTACACTTTTTTTCTTCGTCGCAGCTCGCCTTTTGAAACCGTTTGGGTAGTAGCTCTGTAAGCAAACTTGGTAATGTATGTACTGTATAGGATCCATGTATGGTATATATGCTAACATTTCGGGATATTTGGGGTATATTGATGGTAAGTGTTACCATATATAGCAGCACCATGGATCCGTCATGTACTGTGGAATCCGTCAGAAAGTGGTCTGACCCAGATGACTTTACCAAGTACCGGAAGTTGAGGCGTCAAGCCTGACTTGAGGAAGCGCTCTAGATCGCTCTAGCTATTGGTTGTGAAAGTGTCTGAGCTGAGGCCTTTTTTAGCCAAAACAAAAGGAAAACATCTGAGAAAACATTCGTGAGATCTGGGCATGGCTTCCTTCATGATTGACCCCGGAAGATGGATGCTTATGCCCAAAATCACAAGGGGACGGATCCTCCAAATTCGTAGCAGCGGATCACGGTGTACCAATTCGTGTAGCCATACAGCCAAACAGGCCATAGCTCGTATGCACTTCTGACCTCGCAGCCACTGGGGTGTCATACCCTCCACATCGCTCTTTATGTCACCCAAGGAATGGTGGGCAATTCTGGAAGCAGAGGAGCGATATGGAGCGATTGTAACATCAACATGCTAAGCAATAGAAATGGGGTACTTTACTCGGCTGTTTTCAAACTTTGGATGGGTGAAAGTGACCATTTGCTGGAACATGACAGACAATTTCAGCTTGAAGTGTGTTTGGCAACGCTGTAACACTACAAACAATGCATGTTGCGATAGAAGTTGCTGAAAAGTGTGGGAAACTAAGCCTGAAAAGCAAAAGCAAAGCCAATGTCACTATTCCGCCAAATTGCAAGATCAATTTGGCGATCAACTATTTCCTTTTTCATTTTTTTTCCGCCTATCCACTTTCTTGACAAGCTTTTGTGAACAGAGGACGTCAAGAAGTGATGCTAGGATGCTCCAGTGAAACAGTTCTGATCTGTTCTGATTATGATCTTAAATCCCACCTCAAAGACGCTCCAAATTGGTCCTCGCACATCTTGCCCTCAGGTCGGTGGGGAATCCAGCATCAGGGTTGTCAGGGTTGAATAAAACATGAGGATGGGATGACGCCTTTGACAGTGGCACAGCTTCCAACGAAGCTGTTGCTGAGACCAAACTGTCTTGAAGTTTGGTCCGGAGCCCGGGCCTGTCAAGTTTTGTCAAGCCAAAGCTGAGGTTGGCACGTCTGTACATGTCTTTAGACCAATTGTTCAGGATGTATATTATATATACTATATATACTCAATACAGATGAATTCAGATGGTAGATCGATGCTTCTGACCATGATGGTCATGGCATGTCGTGTCATGTCATGGCGATGGAGCAGGAATGGTTCGAATGGTTGAACTCATAGCGATGGAACAGAACGTGGCATGGAATTTCAGCTCCAAAAAAGTCCTTGAAAAAGCTACTGTATGCAGCCACTCAGCTTTCTGATTCTTGAGCGAGGTCTACTCTTTTGCAGCACTTTGGTCAAAAGGCGGGTACCACCTTTCCGTTTCTTGATGTCATCGTTTTGAACACCCAAGTGGATTGACTCCGGCAATTTTCCCCAACACCGCAGGGACCGCGTTGTCATCACTTTTTTCCGGGTCTATACCAGGATCAAGACTTACTGTAGATGATTGTAGATCTAAAAGATCTTCCCTGATAAAATCAGGCTTCTTTGTGGTTTCAGAAAGTTCCGGCAAAATAACTCAACTCAGGCGCATTTCGTGCACATCCAGTATCATCCAGTGCAGTGCATTTCGTGCAGGATGACTTGGCGGCTCTTCGGCAAGTCCTGGAAAGTAAGGGCGATCCCAACTGTGCCAACGCTGCGGGCTGGACGCCCTTAATACTTTCTGCCATGGCGGATAGGCTCGGCCTGTCTTGACACCCGCGATGAGCAACGCGGACGTGTTTCATCAAAGATCGAAAAAAACACACCTGTCTACATATACCTTATGCATATATATATATATATTGTATATATATATACATATTATTATATATATATATTATTATATATATACTATATATAATATGTATGTTAATTAATGCATTCTTTTTTTGGTCTCATCGCCCAAGTCAGAATATTGTTGGGTTGTTTCAGAGAATACGTGCCACATTGTCGAGAGATGGACGTCCATGCTGCGTTCATTTTCTGTCTGTGCCATCTGACAGAGGTTTCCCTACACCATGTTCGATGCTCTGTGTCCAGTCTTACAGTGCTTTGAAGATGTTTGAACCAATAGCCACATATTCACACATTTACAGCTGATGTAAGTGATCTGGTTGGTGGTTTGGAACATGGCTTTTATGACTTTCCATATATTGGGAATGTCGTCATCCCAACTGACTTTCACTCCATCATTTTTCAAATCATTTTTCAAGATGGTTAAAACTTAAAACCACCAACCAGTAATGTAAGTGATGTATTTACCATGGTATTTACCAGATTTTACCAGTTTCTATAACACATTTGGTCACGGTTTCTGTCACTTCCTGACTGACCTCGCTAGGGGTGATTTGTGCGAGTTGCTCCTGCAGTTTGGCGCCGACCCTTTCCAGGCGCCTGGTTCTGGAATTGCGGATTCCGAAAAACCCATCGTGGGTGTATGGTCGCAACATGTCGCAACTTCTGGTTTTATGTCATTTCAAGATATTTCAAGTATCTAACAACTTACCAAATTGTCATTCCCATATGCTCCATGTATAGTATATTTACCTACATTTGGGTGATTTATGTGGTAAATGTTGGTAAATATTCCAGCACCATGGTTCGCATATGGGATTATGAAATACTATATGGAAGAACTAGCACTATTGATTATATATATATATATCATATAACAACATATAATAACATATAATAACTATGAATAATATGTTCATTGTATTATCATTGACCTATATATGTTATATGTTAGTTATATGTTGTCTTCTCGCCTCGAGGCTGGCCCCCGAGGCCGCAGTGCCTTGCTGTGGGCCGACTGGTGCCCTGAACATGTCTGAAATGATGGGAAAGACATATGGAACACATATGGAAAACATATGGAAAACATATATGGAACATATATGGAACATATATGGAACACATATGGAAAACATATGGAAAACATATGGAAAAACCGATCACGTTTCGTGGTTTGTTTTTTTCTTGAACTTTACCACATGGTTGATCCAGTGCCAGGATTCTGATTCGGGTCGACCGGCAGCCAGGGCATATGGCATGATGCCTGCGAGACGACTAGTGCCTGTTATATCTGTTATATCTGTTATTTTAATCTCAAGGCATATCAAGGCATATCCCCATCCCCTGTATGGCTCTGTCATTTTGGAAGTTGTTCTGTTCAAAAAAAACCGACCCCCTACTCCTCCAACGGCAGCATTCCTCAGGTACCAAGCCAGCCGTTCCTTAGCGGTGTTGAAAGCGGATCGTCGCGAGAAGCGCGACGACCGCGAAGGTTTGAAGCGCTTACAACAAGCCCTTAAGGTGCGACGAGAAAATGATGAGGAAATGGGCGGACATACTGTGGATGGGTGCGAAATCCTGCATCACCCTATAAATAATTGGATAAAAAACCTATCAACTGCTGCAGGAGGTCTTCCATCCGCCGTATTTTTGATTGTCTCAAACTTAGACATCTTAGACGTCCCAACTTTGGAACCCACAAAGTCTAAAATTGGAAGTCTTTCGGAGCTCAAGAAATCCTACCTGCTCTGATGGTGTCTTTGAACATCACCACGGAATGGATCTGATTGGCTTGAGTGCTGTCAATTTGAGCATGATTCGAAGGATAATGTACAACAAAACCACTTCAAAACTGAAAAAATCACTTCCACAAATCCATCTATTCCCAGCACCTGAACAAAGATAGCCAAAACTAGGGGGAACATATCTCCATGTCACGTCACAGCGCTGACTTGGCCAGGACGAGTTTGCATCTCCCATCGTTACACCCATGGCCGCCGCTGACCTTCCCACGGCCATGAATTTCCCAGGTGTTCAATAGGGGCAATCAGCTGATGTCAGGATAGTTTTTTGGGATGTTTTTGGGGGTGTATATCAACGTAGACAATAGATAATGATAATAGATAATACAATGATAATCTAAATCTATCATATTATCTATAATTATATATCATTATCATGATATGATCCCACCATGTCTTTTGGGGGGATCAGGATTGATAAGGATGGATAAGGAGATTCCAGGATGGATAAGAAATAGATTCATAGCATAGATGTTCATGATGCAGCTTTGTGTGCACACTGAAAACTCATGATTGCTTGCCTATGCTGGCCTACAATGACATGCAGAAATTCGACGAAAGAAGTGGGATACGATACGGTTTCCATGAGCCACCAGGAGCCACCTCTTTTGGGCTTCCAAGATGACACCTAGCCAACTGACTGAACCACCGGTGTGGTGGCATTACATGATATTTCATGTCTGCAATGATGATTGTTGATTGGAAATTGCATTTTCATGCACTTTCCCCCTTACTTATCTTATCCTGGTTGGTGGTTTGGAACATGAATTTGATTTTTCCATAGGAATGTCATCATCCCAGCTGACGAACTCATATTTTTCAGAGGGGTAGGTATACCAGGTCAACCACCAACCAGTATCTTACTTTGACCATGAAAGCTTGGGATGATTATTCCCATATATACTTGGTTGGTGGTATACCTACCCCGAAAAATTAGTTGGTTGACCAACTACCCTCTGGTTATTTAACGTAGCCATGGACAATCACCATGCTATTAATAGGTAAACCATCTATTTCTATGGGCCATCTATACCATGGCTATGTTAGTCATAACCAGAGGGGAAATCCCATTAGATCCCATAAAATCCCATTAAACCACCATAAAATCCCATATTCCTATGGTTTTCAATGGGAAAATCCACTATAAATCACCCATTTTCAAGGGGCCGCCAGGTCGCAGCTTCTCAGAGTTGGTAGAGCTGCAGCTGGCGCGGCAGGCGGAGCTGTGGGAACCTGGCGCTGGGGGCGCGCAGGGCGCGCAGGGCGTCAGCGACTCGGTCTTACTGGATGGTCCCAGGGGTCGTCTTTACGAAACAAGGAGGGATTTTATGGGATTTTATGGTGGTTTAATGGAATTTTATGGTGGTTTAATGGGATTTTATGGTGGTTTAATGGGGTTTTATGGGATCTAATGGGATTTTATGGGATTTTATGGTGGTTTAATTGTGTTTAATGGGATCTAATGGGATTTTATGGGAGTTTATGGTGGTTTACCGGGATTTTATGGGATTTTATGGTGGTTTAATGGGATTCTATGGTGGTTTAATGGGATTTTATGGGATCTAATGGGATTTTATGGGATTTTATGGTGGTTTAATTGTGTTTTATGGGATCTAATGGGATTTTATGGGAGTTTATGGTGGTTTAATTGTGTTTTATGGGATCTAATGGGATTTTATGGGAGTTTATGGTGGTTTAATGGGATTTTATGGGATTTTTATGGGATTTTATGGTGGTTTAATTGTGTTTTATGGGATCTAATGGGATTTTATGGGAGTTTATGGTGGTTTAATGGGATTTTATGGGATCTAATGGGATTTTTATGGGATTTTATGGTGGTTTAATTGTGTTTTATGGGATCTAATGGGATTTTATGGGATTTACCCGAAATGGTGAACATAGAAAAAACCATGGAAAGATCCACCCTTTTCAATGGGGATTCATCCACTATTTCGACTGGGTCATTTTCAATAGCAAACTGTAAACGTTTACCAGAGGGTAGTTTCGGTACGGTTCATCGTTTGGTTTCCGAATTTTTCCATGGCAAAGTTACACCAGTTTTTACGCAGTTCCAGGCAGGATTTGGATGGAATTAGACATTCTAAAAATGTCAGCCTCTAGTGGAACAGCCTGAAATGACATGTGCATACATGTGCTACATTGTGGCATCAATCGTTGAGTGTATTCTATGAAAGGCTTCGAGTTTGTCAAGGATGGACATCATTTTAGATTTGTGCACTTGATCTACTTGCGACCTGGGCGGTCTCAGACATCTCAGGTAAGCTTTGGTCCGGGGAGGGAGATGCCGAAACGGGCCTCGCTCCTCTTCCGTTGCAAGACATCCTGAGCGAGGCCCAGGGCCGATTCCGGGCATCGTCGATTCCATGGATATCCTGTAGCTCCGACATGATAGTATATCCCATATGCTCCATGTATAGTATATTTACCTACATTTGGGTGATTTATGGGGTAAATGTTGGTAATTATTCCATAATTACATGGAGCATATGGGTATGATAGTTACATTGGTTTTATGGCTATATAATTAATGTTGTATGTAAAATAGTCGTTAAATAAAAAAGAATATGCAAGAATCATGTTTTCCAATAATTGTATTGGTCATCATGTTGCACAATGGTGTATATTGTGATAAAATGCATATAACACATCTATATAACATGTATATCACAATTATGATGTGTTGTATATCAACCATGATAAAGCCATATTTTAACCATGATAAAGCCATATTTTAACCATGATAAAGCCATATTTTAACCATGATAAAGCCATATTTTAACCATGATAAAGCCATATTTTAACCATGATAAACCCATATTTTAACCATGATAAAGCCATATTTTAACCATGATAAACCCATATTTTAACCATGATAAAGCCATATTTTAACCATAATAAACCCATATTTTAGCCATGATAAAGCCATATTTTAACCATGATAAGCCATATTTTAACCATGATAAAGCCATATTTTAACCATGATAAACCCATATTTTAACCATGATAAAACCATATTTTAACCATAATAAACCCATATTTTAACCATGATAAACCCATATTTTAACCATGATAAAGCCATATTTTAACCATGATAAAGCCATATTTTAACCATAATAAACCCATATTTTGACCATGATAAACCCATATTTTAACCATGATAAAGCCATATTTTAACCATGATAAAGCCATATTTTAACCATGATAAAGCCATATTGTAACCATGATAAAGCCATATTTTAACCATATAAACCAATATTTTAACCATGATAAAGCCATATTTTAACCATAATAAACCCATATTTTAACCATGATAATCCATATTTTAACCATAATAAAGCCATATTTTAACCATGATAAAGCCATATTTTAACCATAATAAAGCCATATTTTAACCATGATAAACCCATATTTTAACCATAATAAAGCCATATTTTAACCATGATAAAGCCATATTTTAACCATGATAAACCCATATTTTAGCCATGATAAAGCCATATTTTAACCATCATAAACCCATATTTTAACCATGATAAAGCCATATATTTACTTACATTAAAAACTCATATTTTTTCCATCTAGCCACCAGTGGGACCAGGTCAACCTGCCTGGTCCCATTGGAGACTTCGACGGCATGAAGTCACTGGTGCAAGCTGCACGATTGCTGGTGCAAGCGAAGATTGCTGCAGGACAGCTGGATTTTTTTCGTTTTTTTTCCATAGATCTGAAAAAAAGCACATCGGGAGTGTATCTTAATTAAACATGGATGAAAACTCAGAATGATTAACTTAAAATAACTTAAATCAAGACATGATCAAAAATAGATCAAAGCCAACCTCTGGTGAATTTTGATGAATTTTGGGGCCTCGTACTGTAAATTTTGGACCTTTTGGGGCCGCAGCAGGAGCTCCGGCGGAGTCGGCCACGGGTGCCCTGGCCTTCTACGTTCTCACCCTGTTGGATGCGAAGTCTCGGGAACGTGTCAACAGCGACCTGACTCAGGTGGGGATTGGTACCCAACTCGACAGTTTCTTGTTGATTGTTGTTCAAACATCTCTGCCCCAACCCGGAAGTCTTACAAACGTCATCATCATCATCATCATCATCATCATCACCATCATCATAATTATCATCTTTATCTTCATGAGGGGTCAAAATTCGCCACCCCCTCTGAACAATATGTTGATTGGGGTAATAACATCAACTTTATCTTCATGGCCACCTGAAGGCCACCTGAAGTCAGACGCGGAGCAACGTCAGGGTTGCAGCGAACATGTTTAAACGAAAAAATACAAACTATTAAGCGTATGTCAGATGTCGCTCTATGATCTTTATTCACGATTTATGACTCAATGCATCTTCCTTGCCTCATTTACTCATAAGTTCCTGTTTGGATCTGTTCTTTTTCACTATCAAACGCCTTCTGATACCATGAGATACCATGAGGGGATGCATAGGCCGCTCGATTTGATTTGGAGCCGAGATTTATATGTGGATAAGTCGAAATGTTGGAGAACATGTTGCCATGATGTGCTCAAGATTTACTTTGCCCTTACCTGTGATTCTGCACTGCCTACAGGTAATTCGCAAAGCAAATTCAGTAGTCTGCACTGCCGATCCCGGTCCGGACGGAATTAACGTTTGATTCGATTTCACAAGCACAGAGAGGCTTGCCCAGCTTACCCTTTGAGGTTTCTCTCTTTCTTCCAAAGCATTGACAGCTGCACAAGATATCTTTCAGCCAGTCTACCAAGTCGTTTTCCGTTGTTTTGCCTGTGTAACATTATAGCATGATCCTTCTCCGTGGGTGATATGTTCACCCTTTATCATCATCCATTTGAATAGCCTGTTCACCATATATGATCACAGTATATCACAGTCCCGGAGTTGGGATCTATCTGGTGTCGAAACTCACGGTGCAAAATGGCTAGGCTTGGGTTCAGTCGCTCTTGCGTTCCACGGCCCTTGCTTGGCACCAACTGCCGGCAGAGCGTTCTGTGCGGAGACTCAGGGCCCTCAGGGGATGGGGAGCGAAGTTCCGTTCCGCTGAGCTGCAGGCGGAGGGACCCTGCCGGGATTTTTCCGACATGGAGAATCCCAATCCCAGCGGATCCTAACGGTGCTGCTATATATGGTGCTCCATGGATCCCATCAATATACCCCCAGTCATGTTAGCATTAATATACCAGCACCATGGATCCGTCATGGGTATTGGGACTGTCATAATCCCAACTGACGAACTCCATCATTTTTCAGAGGGGTAGGACCATACATTAATATACCTTATATACCATACAATGATCCTATGGGGACCCAGTGGAACCCTTCAAAACTCCATGCTACTCCAGCGCGGAGCGTCAGTCGGAGCTGACAGGTAGTCTTCCGTGCTGTGCGACTGAAGGGGGACCTGTCTGCCTATAGGCCGGAGGGACCAAGCAATCACATTGACATTGTTTTTGCGCATAGAGAGGCAAGACATGGATCTATAAATTGCTAGATGCTACATGTTTGGTTTGCACATGATGTTTACATCTATATTATTCCGTGTAATTATTTATATATTGAATTATATTGATACATTTGTGGTACTAAATTATTGACTATGCAGATATATTTACACTTGTGATACACCGTGTGACGCTGTTCGCTATTTCGTCGTGGAGACAGTCATACCGTGTTGTTGTATGATGCGTTGGTACTTCTTCGTACCAGTTCCTACCAGTGTGCAGTATGCCGATGGCTCACAAATCAAACCTTAGGACATCTGAGGACCTAAACTCAAGAATGCTCTTGACTTATGTGGCTCAGGACTAAAAGGAACTCAATTTGTAGGTGGACATGAGTTGTTCTGATGGTCCATGTGCCTGCCATGCGCCCTCAGCAGACTCAGCAGTGTCAGGGGCGCACTCGCGTCGGTAGTTCCTATTGATGAAAATGAATGTAAGTCTGCAAAGGATTTTTAAGCGCTGCATGTCTGCATGTACTGGATGTTCCAGATTCCGTCAAAGATTATATGATGACTGGTTGGTGGTTGGTGGTTTGGAACATTATTTATTTTTCCATTCAGTTGGGAATGTCATCATCCCAACTGTTACTCACTCCATGATTTTTCAGAGGGGTAGGGCGAAAAACCACCAACCAGATGATGATGGGAGGGAAATCCGTGCAGGCCGTATTCTAGGCCTTGTGTCATGGCCTCCTGCAGACTGCATGATGTCACTGGCACTGGACAGCTGAGATGTCTACACTTTGCCAGAGATCAAGTCATGGCCTGGACGGCAGGACAGATGGCCGGTTTGGCCTGTTTGGAAGGTCAGGCAGAAGCAGTCCGTGCTCTATTTGGGTCTGGCATGGAACCTTTGGTGAATGATCAGCATTGTTTTTGGCAGCCACGGCCATGAAGTTGTTCGATTGTTGAGTAATGAGACTGTGGCGCCACTGCACTAGTTGACAAGGACATGATGGCTGGCATCAACACCCCACAATGTGCCACAATGTGTGGATGTTGTGCTGCCGGAAGTTACTGATGGCCGGATGTAGACATGGCTAGCCACTTGTTAAACATGAAAGCTGGAGAACGTTCCCTAGTCCTATTGCATGCTGCAGCTCAGAGTGGCCATGTTGAAGTTTAACAAGCTGCTGTGGCTTGTTGAGCTTGGGGCTGAACCAGAGGAAGGCAACCTCCAGGTGCGGTGCTTTCTGCTTGAAAGTGGAGAGGTGGATATGACTTCAAACAAGGTGCAACACCATTTAGAATTAGTCCGCATGTTGATGAAAGCCGGGGCAAACAAGTCGGAAAGACCGAGAGACGCTGGTGCAACGCCTTTGCAAATGGCTGAAACTGGATGACTCATGGTGGCCAGTGATGCTTTTGATCAAGGTTTTAGGAAATATGCAGCTTGTAGTTACTTCCTGGGAATGACTTCCTGGGACGTGTTGTGATTCCAATAGAAAAAAGCTGCTGCACTTGGCCCCTTTTGGGGCAGCTGACCAAAAGGAGACTTGAGCGTCAGAGGTTGACCGCTATGCTGGGTATTGCTGGGTTCAAGTTTGTGGGTGCTATGATTATAAAGCAGAGGTATGCCCAGCAAACATGCGGGTTTTCATAACTACAGCTACCTCCGCCAGAATTGAATTGAAGCTTGTCCCGTCCAAGCGGATAATTCCAGCAAATTATTGCAAGTTCTGACATCAATACGTCAACTGAAGCGATGAGGAGCATAATGCCTGAAAAGGACCCGGATGTAATTTCTCTCAGCCCACTGCTTTATCCAGCTACCACGGCTATCATCCAGATTTGCAGAGAATAAGAAGCGTTTTTGTTGAGTGTAGCCATGGAGTAAATGCATGCAACTTTTGCAGGAAGGGCCCCTACGGCTCCTACGCAGGTAGGTTATGGTAAGTTGGTTTATAGCTAGGCTAACTAGGATTCATGGCGAATATAGAATATGTCTATACTGTCTTTGCTATATACCCTCTGGTTATTTAACACAGCCATGGGAAATGACCCATTTATAGATGGTTTACCTATTACAAATGGTGATTTTCCATGGCTATGTTAAATAACCAGATGGTACTTTGGATGGAATTATAATATATAAGAAAATCAACAGGCCACCTTTCAACCTGGTTCCACCGTGCCTATGCAAAACATTGATATTTAATGATTATGTTATATGCTTCTATTCTACCATTGATATAGATTAAGTAAATGATATAGATCGAGTATACAACATCTAGCAAAATACGATACGATATAGGAATATAAATCATAGTTCAATCTGATATGATTATAATTATATATAAACGATTATATTTAATTACATATGATATATGTAATCATCATCAATATATCAGTGTATACATATCTCATGTTATCAGTGGCACTATGATACTATATACAATATTAGATATTTTAGATATAACTATAATAATATCATATTATATTATTTCCCTCCTGGCGTATCCATAGTCCATTATACAATACTATTAATATCTAATATTATCTAATATTACCCTCTGGTAAATAAACAGTTTGACCCTGAAAATCACCAATTTATAGTGGTTTCACTAGTCTTCCAACCCCGATGACTGCCAGGGTCGAACTGTTAATTTACTGGAGGGTACATATTACATACAGTATATCCATGGATGTGCCAGGCGTCAGTTGGAGCTCTTCGCTCCACGGCGTCCGGTGGCATGGCCCTGCCCCACCTATGGCACGTTGGATCGACGTGTGGCCTTGGACCGGCGCACCCAGTGGCCAAGTGGAGGGATGGCCAGGGATTCTACAAAGATGTTTCATAAAGGATGTGTTTTTTGATTTTTTATATCCAAGATATATCCAACATCTATCCATTTTTTTGTGTGTTTTTTTTGATATTTTTGATTTTTTATATCCAAAATATATCCAACATCTATCCATTTTTTTTGTGTTTTTTTTTTTGTTTTTTTTTGATTTTTTATATCCAAGATATATCCAACATCTATCCATTTTTTTGTGTGTTTTTTTGATATTTTTGATTTTTTATATCCAAAATATATCCAACATCTATCCATTTTTTTTGTGTTTTTTTTTGTTTTTTTTTGATTTTTTATATCCAAAATATATCCAACATCTATTCATTTTTTTGTGTTTTTGTTTTTTCTTGATTTTTTATATCCAAAAGATATCCAACATTTTGATTTGTTTGATGATATATCCAAAATATATCAATGAACATAACAATGTAAGTATTGATACCCTCTGGTAATTGAATAGTTTGCTATTGAAAATGGATGAAAATGGCACATTTAGATAGTTCGTTGATTGATGTTGATTTACCGAACTTCAACATTGGTGATTTTCCAGTTCACTATGCGAAAAAAATGACCAGAGGGTATGAGCAAAGACCTAAAAACTGCAGAAACCTCTACAGTAGAGAGGTCCTATGGTTGAAAATGTGTCGTAACCCGTGGAAAGCGATCCCATGACGGATCCATGGTGCTGCTATATGGTGCTCCATGGATCCCATCAATATACCTCCCAATGTTAGCATTAATATACCAGCACCATGGATCCGTCATGGGGACAGGTTTTTTGATGAACAAAATCGCTATCCAAAATGATCCGATTTCATGGAAATCGATGAACCTTTTTCATCCATTTTCTGGATGGGTTCATCGAATGATACAAAAACCACTTAGGAATCACTGGGTAGTGTGGACCGGAAAAAAAAGGTGAAAGTCATTGAGATTGTTATTGCCGGAGAAGTTGGTGGTGCCAAGACCAACCCCCAAAGTTACTTATTTGTTGCAGCTCTCGCAGCATTTTGAAAAGGCATGTCCATCAGACGGTGAGCTATGAACATATCGACGGGTGGCAGGTTTTTACAGCAGATACCCTCTGGTAAACTAACATAACATAACTATGGAAAATCACCATGCTATTAATGGGTAAATGAACTATTTCTATGGCCATGTTCAATAGCTATGCAACAAATTACCAGAGGGTAGGATCCGTTTTGGCACCAAGATGAGCCAAAGATTTTCCAAGGGGAAAAAATGATGTTTGGAGTTGAAGCGGAGAAACTTGTCGTAGCATGTTGTAGCATCTCCGACAATACCATGTGGTACCGTTGAGCAAATCAGGATCAATACCTATAGAATCTGCTAGACTGTTATGGGATGAACATCCATATAAATCCATATCAATCCTAGTTGTTTTGATGTGAACTACAGTAACTACAGGGCCTAATTTTCGGGGTTTTGATATTTTGATGGCTTTTCTTAAAAGCCATCCCCACATCTCGACCCAGGCTTACTTGGAAGATTGGAAGGAAGCTGCTTGGGCCTTGGATCCCCCTTGGATCAAGCTGTGCTCAGTTCGCTTCCCATTGGACACAAGAGATCATAAGAATCATAGATCCTCAATATGTATAGTATATCTACTAGATGTCAATTAATATAGGTTTCTATTAGTTTATAATATATAGATATTATACATTTATATATCTGGGTAAATTTCATCACGACCTCACTACGACCGAGCCCTGAAATCATGGTTTATGTTAGGGGAATCATCCCCATGTGAGGCTGCAAAATTCAGGTTAGTGACATATTATAATTTACCCAGATGTATGGTATATATGCTAACATTGGGGGTATATTGATGGGATCCATGTTACCATATATAGCAGCACCATGGATCCTATGGGTTTGCGAATCAGAGATCCAAACACGCTGCTGAAACGAACAAGTTGTCCATCATATTTTCCTGAGCCAGAAGCTCCTTTCCCATTCCAGACCAACTTTGCAAAACAGCCTGATCTGAACAATCTAGGTATCCCATCCAAAACCCGCCCACAAGATTGGTTTGCTGGTTTTGCTTTCTACCTGCACATTCAAAGTGCAGTCTTCATAGGCACAGTTGCAACCTACGGTAGGATTGTGGGATCAATTCATGTTGAACATCAGCTGACATCAGGTCTTGGTTTTCAAGATCTTCTGTTTGACAGCAAGGAGGCAGGACGAATCAAGTGTCTTCCACGACACTTTCTGACCAGATGCGACCAGCAGTATTAATGGATGATAGCTGATTTGGATCGATCATAGACTGGAACATGAGCCAGAGTTTTTCAGCGCAAACCACGCCTTGGCTACAAAAAGATACCAGATGTTTGATGATGTTTGATGTTTGTCCTTACTGTGACACGGCCTGTAATAATACGGCCTTTGTTTTGAAATCTGTTCGAAGAATGGCATGTGGGTATGGGTCAATACCTATAGATACATTTTAGTGGGATGAACATCCATTTACCAGCTATTTTGGGGTTCACTAGGGGTACAAGGTTTTGACACACTGCCATGTAACTTCACATGGAGTTCCATGGAAATCCCCACATCGGCTGCCCAATCAATGCAAAATCGATGCAGGATCAACGAATTCTCCTGGCTGGCAGCCGAGGATCAGACTTCCGCCACTTTTCGGCATTTCTATATATGCATTTCTCATCGATTTCCAGCGATGCCATGTACTGAAAAAAATCACAGTCTCCAAAAGAACATAGAAAACCTATGGAAAGTATATGAAAAATCTAGAAAACCTGATAGCCTCTAGAAAAGCCGTGGATCATGAGTGTTTCGGCCCGAACATTGCCTTGGTGTTGCAAGTTCATTCAAACCGATTGGGTCCCGAAATTCGTGATGTTTCGTTGGAAGGAGGGGCGTTGTGCCTGGTTTTCACAACGTGTTTCGTAACCACTTGGTACCATATATAGTGTTAAGACATCTAGAGGCATGCATTCATTGGAAAATTGAAAATATTCTTTAAAACAAACGAGAAAAATCAGGAAAAAACAAGTTAAAAAAAACAAAGAAACAAAAAAGAAAAAACATGCGCCTGGGTGCTTTGTATATTTGTTTCTTTTTTGTTTGTTTGTTTTTTTCCCTACTCGGGAGAATCCGGATCCCAAATTTCAAATCTGCATTTTCCTTGGAAAAAAAACGAAAACAAAAAAACAAAAGAACAAACAAAAAGAAACAAACAGAAACATATTGCAACAGAGTGCTTTGCAGATTCGTGTTTTTAATTGTGCAATGAATGCAGTTTGGCAGAGACACACAAGGGCCGACAAGGCGTTTTTTCAATTATTTTCTGGTTTCCAGTAAAATCTAGGTCCCTAGGTCAGTCTTAGATGGGTACTTGAATCGTTTAGTCTTTTGGTATCAATGGGAATATCTACTAACCAGCAAAGAATTTTTCATTTGTTGCAGGGTATCTAAGATTGGCAATGAAATGAAGTATTATGCGCCATAACCATAGCTGGTTGGTGGTTTCAAACATTTTTTTGTTTTCCATTTCATATATATGGATATATATGGGATGTCATCCTTCCCATTGACGAACTCCATCATGTTTCAAGATGGGCACATTGCACCACCAACCAGATAGTGTTTGGATTGGAGTTGAAGCTTCGAAAATTCTAAGTCTGAGATTTTGCAAGGGGAGTCTGGAGAAGTCTTAGACACCAAAGACTGGGATTTTGTAGCTGCGATACCGAGAGTATACCATGTTGAATAGCTGCACCATGGTTCCCCATCAAGTTTTAGCTATTAATAATATGGGGGTGTCCTAAAATAGGATCAAGTTTAATAGGATTTTCCAGTATAAACTTAAACCATCCATTTTGGGGTACTTCCATTTATGGACATTCCCATATTGTTTCCAAAGTCATCGAGTTTACGACTGTAGAGCGCATCTCGTACAGGCAGAGCGTTCTTACAACATCATGTCTAGCAGGGCCACTGAACAACCTTGAAGATATCGTTATAGAGTTGCTTCCATTTGAGGACCTTGAAAACCTTGAAAACTCGGAAATCGTTATAGAGTTGCTTCCATTTGAGGACCTGGACAGCCTTGAAAACTCGGAAATCTCTATATCCCTCTGTGTGTATGTGACTACAATGTCAACAGCTGTCCAAGAGCAGAAACTCCACCACAGTGCCACAGATTCTGGGACTTTTAGGCCTTGCATGAGTCGATGATTGCTCCGGGTACTCAATTTGAGGCGCTGGGGCCATCTGGGGCCATTTGCCATCGGGCCCCCACAAGGAAAGCCAACCATGAGTTGATGATAGTTGATACCCTCTGGTAAACTAACATAGCTATTGAAAATTGCCATTTACAGTGAGTTTTCCCATTAAAAATGGTGATTTTCCATAGTTATGTTAATTTACCAGAGGGTAGTTGATGGGGATTCATATCAACGGCAAACCAGCTGGAGCAAGATTTCGGATGATTTCGGGAGTGCCAGCAGATGTCAGCAGATGTCAGTAGCTTAAGGGCTTCGGAACTTGGGCTGGATGTTTGGCGTCTTGAAAGCCAGCGTAGCCCTCACGTGTTGACATATGCAAACTGTTCACATGCATTGTGCAAGCAGTAGTGGCGAAACTACAACTTTGACTTCCAAGTCTGATACAGGAGCAAAATGCCCCTTGCCTCCATGTAATTAGTGTAAATGCAGCTAGATATGAGGTGACTATCCCAACCTCAGAAGGTGATATCAAAACCGAAGGGAATATCAAAACCTTCTTGCCAGCAGCTAGCGCGCCTTTAGCCGCAGAATGGTAAGTCATGACATTGACTGGGTACGAACACTTTTCCTATCATATTTAGATCCGGTAGGAATGTCTTGCCATATCATTCGATGTTTGTCTTTTCATGAGTCTAGAACTATTCCATATTATTCCATATTATTCCATATATGTCCATATTCTTCCCCAGTCCGAAGGATGATTTTAATTTGTCCCATTAAAATTAGCCTATTTCTTCTGGAGAATCATTGGATTGGTTTAAGGGAAAATCTACAGGAAACCATGGTTTTTACATGTTTTTACCATCAAATAGATCGGGCTTTCCGGTGAAACATGTTCCCATCATCCAATTCTATGTTTCTGATGTTTCTGATGTTTCTCAGCTTCTGGATCTCAGCAAAGCATCTGAACTATGCATCTGTTTTGGACGGCGTCATTTTGCGTCGCCAGTCCTGTGGCGTCTTCGAGCTGTCAGACGTGACCATGCGCGCCATGGCGGCGAGTATAGACGAGTCAAGTTCTATTGGATCCACCGCCTGATCCACCGTTGATGTCAATGGGATCCCCAAATGATGGCCTTTTTACTGGCCTTTTTACTGGAAATGATGGGTAAGTTATGGTAAGTTATGGTAAGTTGATGTAAGTTGTAGGATTTGGATGGATTTGGATGGATTTAAGGGATATTTGGGGGTGCCTATCAACGCCCGATGTTCAGACAGACACTTTAAAGCGGCGAAGCAGGGAAACGGAATCATGTTAAGGCCGGAATGAGAAAACACTTATTGCCAGGGTCTTGCCAAAAATATCCAAGGGTAAGTCTTGATAGGGAATAATGATCATTGGGTTCAATCAGATGATAGAATATAATAGATACATAATATATAAATACGCAGTTTAAACATATATATATATATATCGCTTAATGGCAGTGGGTATGATTTTTGGATCTCTTGAGCGCTCAAGATCTGAATTCGTCGCTGAGGCCGAGATGTTCCAATGGACGCATCTCTCCGCCAAGACTTTGAGATCCATGAAGAGGTGGATTCGCGGAGGTTGACCGAGATTTAAGCTGATGACCGGTGCCATGGAGCTTACCCTCTGGTTATGTCAAAATAGCTATTGAAAATGGCCCAGTCGAAATAGTAGATTTTCCCATTCATAGCATGGTGATTTTGCCATGGAGCTTACCCTCTGGTTGTTTTGTAGCATATGTTCATGAAAAATGTTTGAAAATTATGTAAAAACATGTCTTTTTTGCCGAGCGAAGGTGCGATCTCCGACTGTTTCCAACCGTTTCCCCTTGGACACCTTTGGACCTTCAAAAAAAAAACTGCGTTGCGCGGAAATGTTTATTTTTAAAAGAATGCGGGTTGGACAAGTTTTGGCCTGATCATGTTTCCGACTGTTTCCGACCGTTTCCGACCGTTTCCGACCGTTTCCGACCGTTTCATTTTTTCTGAACGATTAATTGGACCAATTCCATTTATGGAAGGCTGATCCAGTGCAAACCCGTGCAAACCATGACGCTTAAGTTTTTTCGTGCGACCCTTGTGCGCGTACACTGCACCAAATATTGCATCCCTAAAAATCACAAAACCCCAGGAGCTCGTGAAATTTAATAGTAGGTCATGTTTACCATACCAGGGGTGTGTCATGTCCAGCGACTGCCAGTCCAGCGACTGTGCCAGGTCCAGCTGCTGCCCAGTGGAGAGATCCCACGGCAAGCTCTGGTCATTTTGCAGGAGGCGGGTTGGCGAGTCAGGCGTTGTGGGCTTTGTGTCACCCCCTGACTCAGGGGGAGGAGCCTCGTAAGATTCGTGGCAGCCCTACATCAAAAATCTGAAGCACTGTTGCGGAAAAACATGCTTAAACAATCTATGTTCTGGTTTTTCAGCAAGAGCAGACATCTTCTACGGTGTAAGCTTTTTACATGTTCAATGATCCGCGTTCCTTTTTGAACATGTATTTGTTCTTGACATGGGGATGCCAACAAAATGGTTTCAATGGAGGATGTGAACATTGTTTTCCGCAGGTGGTGCCTGCAGAAGACTTACGAAAGGCGTCTGAGAGCGCTTCAGCTGCTGTGCGCACGAAGAAGACGGCAACATACCTCTGAAGTGCGTGCACAGATAACGACCTCTGGTTACAGATCAACGGTTATCACCGTGATAAGTGCCAGACTCTTGTGTGATTGATATACAATGATATACAGGATGATCATGCAATTTGGACAATTGCAGGACATGTTAACTTTAGGATATGATGCCACCGTGGTAACACTTACTGCCTTGCGACACTTGTTGACACGAAAAGCCACAGGTCTCCGGTTTTTTGTGTGATTGACTTATCGATTGTATCCGGGATCTGAAAAGGATCCTGAAAAAAGATCTAAATAATTAACAAATTACCTGAGAATCGAATATATTGAAATATATTAAAATATATTATAATATATTGAAATATATTGGAATATATTGGAATATATTACAATATATTGAAATATATTTGGAATATATCGAAATATATTGAAATATATTGAAATATTTTAGGATATATTGAAATATATTGAAATATATTGGTATATATTGGAATATATTGAAATATATTGGAATATATTGATATATATTGATATATATTGGAATATATTGGAATATATTGGAATATATTTGGAATATATTGAAATATATTGGAATATATTATGAAAGATAATATTAGCTACTTGAATTTTCTATATTTTAACATAATTATAGGGAATTATTGGGGAGTTAATCCGTACAAAACATAGAATTTTCGATATTATAAATTAGATATTACGTTAGGGGGGGGGCTTGAAATGGTTATGGGTTTAATTCCTACGGGTAACTTGTTTATGGTCCTTTATAATAAGGCCATATTCTCCATGAGGGAGATGTCCTTGTAGTTTAACATAATTGGTTTGTTTTAGGCTTAATAATAATTATTATAAGGAATTTTAAAAATAAATTTAAATAATTTTTTTTTTATATATTATTTTATATTATACAAAATATTATATAATATAATTATGTTTTAGATAAAATTATCTTAGATTATTTAAAAATGTCTTTTTCTATTATACTAGTTTTGTTTGCCTCCGCCTGAATTTAAATTGGAATATATTAAAATATATTGAAATATTTTAAATTATATTGAAATATATTGGTATATATTAATATATATTGAAATATATTGGAATATATTGAAATATATTGAAATATAATAACATATTGGAAAATATTAAAGGATACCCGTGTAAAAAAAGAAAGAAAATGGAGGCGAAGTTTCGAAGTACTAAATTCCGGGAAAATCTCGCGGTTAAATTAAAATTTCGTAGTACCAATATATTAAAAAAATGTAAGTTTCGGAAAATCCGAAATACTTAAATTTTCGTAAAAAGTAAAGGCTTTGGCCAAAAATTCCGACTAATTTACCTACTTATAATATAATTATATAAAATATTACATTAATTCCGGCTATAAATACGTACTTCTAAATTCTGTTTAATCTATGCCGCCGTGTAATTGAGGCCACTGCTGACAGAAAAGCACCACTTGTCTCTGCCTGGGCATTGGGATCAGGGTAAAGCAGGTGAGGTCTGCACTACTTGTCTTCATCAGATTCAGCGGTATGTTTTTCCTGAAATAATTATACCCATAAAAAAGTAAAAACAACCAGCCAAAACCACGATTATTTCCCTAAATGTGGCAAAAAAGGTCCAATTTTCTCAAAAAAATTGGGAAATAGGATAACCATCCCAGATAATTTGATTTTTTATGTATCGCAATCCATCGGAGGCTTCTACGAAACTTATCGGAGGGGTCTACGAAACTTTTCAAATCTTTGCATACGCCAAGATAATCACTTCAAATGACCAAAAGCGCGATCACACTGGATGAGCTATGGCAAAATAAACCTGTGCCGAGATTGGAAAAACCACAACACAATACAAGACACCGTAAAAGGCACATCTTAAAATCGACAACCTTTCCAACGGCGGCGTATCAGCCGTATGCCAAAAACAACCGCAAAAGTCCTGTGTTAAAACAATAATTTTTGTCAAAAAATTGGCAAAAAAGGTCCAATTTTCCCAAAAAAATGGGGAAATAGGATTACGATCCCAAACAATTTAATTGTTTGTGTATCACAATCCATCGGAAATTTCCACGAAACTTCTCAAATCTTTGCACACGCTGAGATGATCACTTCAAACGACCAAAAGCGCGATCACACTGGATGAGCTACGGCAAGAGGAAAGGAACCTGTGTCGAGATTGGAAAAACCACAGCACTCAAGGCTTATACATAATGCACAGAGATATCCGATACTTTGCATACGCTAAGATGATTACAAAGCGACTAAAGGCGCGATCTGATCACACTGGATGACCAATGGAAAGTGCATCTAATGCCGCAACATGACTACCCGAGAA